CATTGCAGAATTGATGTTATACGGCTCGTTCAATGAATCGCTGGCCGTCTCAGTGATCAGCCGTAAAACAGTAATTCTGTCCAAATTCCCTTTAAAATCTTAAATGATTCCCTTTGAGCTAAATTGACCTGTTTCCCTTACATCAATGTTGAAAACAGTTGTGCTGCTTCATATTTTTCTGTAAACTGTGATGCATTTTACATTTGTCAAAAGAACAGCATTTATTTGTAATATAAATATTTTGTAACATTATAAATGTCTTTACTGTCACTTTTGACCAATTTAATAGATTTACGGAAAAAAAAATTCATTTATTTTTAAAAAATGTATACTGACCCCAGACTTATGAGCAGTATAGTGTATATTTTGACCAACCTTTCATCAAATTGATATTTTATTGTCAGAATACTCTGACAACACATATATATTTTTGTGTAAAATTTTGTGGGTGTTTTTGGTTCGGTTTTATGAGGCTACTGGACCTCTGGGTGAAGATTTGATAGTTTGTCAGTGAGGACTGTACACAAAATAGTATGTGAAAAATTGTATACATATTTGACTGTAAGCCAAGTTATCCCAAATTTATGTTTTTGAGCATTTTTGTGACATTTAACCAGTGGCACTGTCAATGAACTGCTTGGGTGTCAACTTTCATTGCCACCCAATGCACTCAATAGACCAAAGCATTGGAAAACTAAATCTCACTTCCTATTTGACATCCTCACCATCAAATATGTTAATGCATTAAGCAGTTTCATATATCAGAAGTCTTTAGTTTCAAGATTGTCTGACTCAAAGTCTAACGACTGGTTGTTAGTTTTTAAGACAAAATGTGAACGTTGACCTGTTGGTGGCACTAGAGAGTTTAAAACTGGGTATGATAAAAGTTGATACTCTCCTCAATAAATGTACCAAATTTCATAACTTTTTACCAAATGTTTCTACGGACTGCCATAGACTCACAGCCAGAAGAAATTAAAGAATAAGAAATGAAATTAAACCAAGCTTTAGTCTCTTTCATGCAATATAAAAATCAAGTCTTTTATGATCCATCCATTTTTTACTCCACACTTGTAAACAAGCCAATTGTCAGTACTTTGTCATCAATCTTACTGTAGCATAACGCTGCATCTTCTTGCCCAGGCAAACCTCCTGACTGCGAGCGACCCAGACCCACAGAGTAACCACGGTTCTTCCTGCTGCCGGAACGAGAACTGCAGTGCGAACTTCGTTTATGATCCTCCCCTGGAGATAAACAAATACACAAGGAGTCATTACAATAATCTAATTGTGTGCTTAAGCCAGGAGCGACTGCTTCATCTGTTTCCCTGCTCCTTGATTTCTTCTTCCTGAGAAGAGTGTCTTTTGACACAATGATTGCAACTGCCAGGCCTTGTGAGCTCAGATGAATTAGAAGAATGACCTACCAGGATGGCTGTACTCAATGCAGGTGGGTAAATATTCATTGCTGTCCAGATCGATAGGTACAAACACTGTGTATTTGCTCAAGATGTTGCAGGCTTTGCTCGTGTGGATGGCGTAAAGCTGGTACCTTCTCCCAGAACCTACAAGAAATGACAGAGGGATTTGGTCAGATATTCAAGCAAGTTGGATGTTTTAATATTTGGTCATTCGACCTTACCATGCTCAATCTCACACTCTTTATCCACCATGTGTTCAAAGTCTTGAATAATGGAGCGTCCCGCCAGGTGATGGAAGGTTTCGTTCCACAGGTCCTCGTAAACTTTCTCCTCCCGCTCTCGGCCTTTCAGGTAAGGCTGGATGTCAAAGGCCACCTCCCATCTCATGGGCTTCCCACACAGCAGTCCTGATATGACCGCTTTGCAATCTCCCTTTCCGTGACTGGCCTTGAATTCTGGCGCGTGAGGATCCTGGGGCGTTTCGACTTCGCAAAGCTGATGCGCGTAGCCATCTGTTCGAAAACGCACAGAAGGTAAACATAATATTCAGAGTATTAACAGATGCTTTTCCTGCTGAAAACATCAGAAACCAGTTGGCTGAGTGTATAATGACAAGTTAAAATGGCAAAAGTTTGATATTTTTTAAATCAACTAGTTGTTGGGTTGCTTAAAGGAACCCTGTATAACTAAGGCACAACAGATTTTGTTGAGATGGCATTTTTAGGATATGTTCATGCTTTAAAAACAGCTAGAAGAGGATAAAAAGCCTTAAATGAATAGTTCATCCAAAAATGAAAATTCCGCATTACTCACCCTCATGTTGTTCCAAACCCGTAAGACCTTGGTTCATCTTAGGAACACAAATTAAGATATTTTTGATGAAATCCAAGAGCTTTCTGACCCTGCATAGACAGCAACACAACTACCATGTTCAAGGCCCAGAAAGGTAGTAAGGACATCGTTAAAATAGTCCATGTGACATCAGTGGTTCAACCTTAATTTTATGAAGCTGCGAGAATACTTTTTCACAAACCTCAATCTTGATCCTTGAACATGGTAGTTCCGGGTCAGAAAGCTCTCGGATTTCATCAAAAATATCTTAATTTGTGTTCCGAAGATGAAGGAAGTTCTTATGGTGAGGTTTGGAATGACACGAGGGTGCGTAATTAATGACAGAATTTTCATTTTTGGGTGACCTACCCCTTTAATGTTTTAAAAAATTAGTTTTGAAAGTGCTTCAAACTTGACACGCTGTCTTAAAAATGCAACTCTCATGGTGCCGAAAAAGAGTGAGATGTCTGAATCTGAGAACATGCAGCTGTTTAATATGGTAACTGACAGGCAATTAGGTTGAATATCTTTTTTATTGCACAAAACTATTAGCTGATAGTCGCCATAAAAACCGAGACTTACGGATTATGAATAATGACAGGAAAATTGCTCACAGCAGGCTATTTGAAGTCTGACAGACTTGAAATTTATTGCTGAATACTGTGGATTGGTTACATAAGCTGTGTTTTGAAGGCGGTGCTTTAAAAGTTATGAATTGAGAGACTTTATAGTACATTAAACACCAGTATTAAAACAATAACAGATCTGCTCATCTAAAACCATATATAAATTTATCGGCAACTCATATCATCTTACATATATTTATATATATATATATTTATTCAGTAAGGACACATTTAATTGATCAAAAATGACAGTTAAGTCATTTACATGTCACAAAAGATTTCAAATAAATGCTGTTCTTTTGAACTTTGTATTCACCAAATAACCCTGAAAAAAAATGTATCACAGTTTAGCACAACTGTTTTCAATACTGATAATAAGAAAAAAATTTTCTTGAGCATCAGATCAGCAAATTAGAATGATTTCTGAAGGATCGTGTGACACTGAAGAAAGACGGGAAAATTCAGCTTTGCTTGCATCACAGGAATAAATTACATTTTAAAATATATAAAAACTGAAAACAGGTATTTTAAAAAGTAATAACATTTCACAAAATGTTACTGTATTTTTAATCAAATAAATGCAGCCTCAGTGAGCAAAATGGACAAAACAGTTTTCAAAAACATTTGAACTATTCTAAGATATCTATCAAATTATCTTGCCCACATTTTTTGACCATTGAATTTCTTTGATTTTTCCATCGATCTTTCCAGTCGAATTTCAAAATGTAAAAATTTCAAACTAAAAATTGCTTTATAGAGATTTCCGGAAAAGTCCATGCATATACCAGGTTTGAATACTTGGAGTTTAAACTTTTGTAAAGTGTACAAATGTCAGTACGACCTTCAATAGTTTTTACTCCTCACAGCACTCAACAAAGAGTGATATACAGCTGATGAAAAATGTTTAGAGCAGTAAGAAATAAGAAAAACTCAAATTCACAACTGAACTTTATTTTTTTTTTATATAAAGATTTTACAACTACAACTGATTAGCAGATTAAGGAGAGGTTTCTCAGTCAGCGCTCAGTGTATAACGTTAAGTGCCTCTATGCCCCCCACTGTGCAGCTGATTATGGGTACTTCAATTACAGTGTTAAAAGCCGGCTTAACTCTGAGCCCAAGCAGCGCTAAGATTATTATGCATCAGAAATTGATGTCTTTGTTCTCATACTTAAGGACTGTAGTGAAAGACCAACCTGCATCGCCGGTGCTGCCTAAAGAAGGGCTGTCAGTTGAAGACCTGGAGCCATCTTCCATGACTGGGCCGGGATGAGTCTGATCCACCTTGAACTCCTCCTGGAGACCCTCTGGTTGCTGCGCTGGAGGTTTGTGAGCAGTTATGGGACGTCCTCTTGAGGATGTGGCACACAGGCTGGCCAACTGTGGCTGATGGAGAAATGAGCAACAGTTCATTAGTCCTTTTGCTCACTCTGCGATGCCACTGTACTTGAATTACCTAGTCCAAAATGGCACATTTGATGGAGACGTTTATCTTCTAATATGTAGACGTTTATCTTCTAATATTGAATATTTAATTGTTTTTGCAATTTTTAATAAATTTATTTTTAAGATTTAGATCATCATCTAGCAATAACTCAGGCACAGTTATAGATTATGGCAAATATTTAATCTTCTAAGAGCACTCAAATGTCTCTTGAAACTTGCTTTCCCTTTAAGAGAGCTGTGTGTATTTGTGCATAAAAATGCAGTAAGTTCATTTATTGGGAAAAAAGTACAACAAAACAAGACAAATAGAAAATAGGTTTATAATATCAAACATTTATCACTCATAACATAATTATAAATATAGGCATATTAAATATTATGCTATATATTTTGAATGATTTAACATGCCTAATTTGCCTATATTTAAAATGATTTAAAAATAAAACTATAAACTTAATTTCACTATAATATTAAAATACAAATGTTATTTTAATGTTAACATTTAAATTATATTTAAAAAACAAATAAATAAATAAATTCAAATATTAAAATGTAAATGTTATTATTTAAATATGTTAACATTTAAATTATACTATTATATACTATAATATTGGAATAATTACGTTTTTTTTTTTTCAATGTTTTTGAAAGAAGTCTATTTTGCTCTGCAAGGTTGCATTTATTTGATGAAAAATACAGTAAAACAGTATTATTTTGAAATATTACTGCAATTTAAAAGTTTACTATTTACTATTTTAATATATTTTAAAATGTAATATATTTGTAAAAATCATTATTTCAGTCTTCAGTGTCACATGATTCTCCAGAAATAAAAATTAAAATAAAAATTATTCCAAACATTTGACTAGTAGTTAATATTTTGAAACATTACTGAATAAATATATTTAAAAATAATTACATTAATTAAAAATATTATGAATAAAATATATGAATAAAATAAAAATACACTTATAAATTAATAATATTATTAATATATTATATTATATATCATCATTATTATTATTATTATAGTTATTATATTAATATTATTATTTTGACTTTTGAATTTTTTGACAGTTTAACTCATAAGTATGATATGAAGCACATTTTTACCTGACAAATAACCTGACAAAATATTTTACCCATCAACGTATGGGCATGGCATTAGGACAGTTATAAATGTTCATTGCTTGTTTCCTGAACTAAAGAAAAATCACAGTCCCACAGTAATGGCACTAATGCTAACAAGTCTGAATGTGTTTCTATGCCTGTACATATCATGCAGGATTCCTATTGTACTTTCCAGCATGAAAACAACATGAATGGAAATCTAATTTATTCCACCTCATGTAGAGGGAGTTTATGAACACAATGATTCTTTGAGTCGGCGTAACCATGCCAGTTCCTACAGCCATGGTTCTCTGTTCACTTGGGTCTAATGGCAATTTGGTTAATGAAAAATATATGCCTGCTGAAGAGCTAATAAGGACCATTAAAGTCATTATTGCATGCATTGAGGGGAAATCAAGGACTCTTTGTTATTGCTGTAACTAATCTGTAATATTTCTCACTCCCTTTTTGATAAGATTTCCACAGGCAATTGCTTGCAGTGCCGAGTGTCACCCGGTGAGAGATATCTTCTCTCCTTTCAAAGAGCGTGACATTGGAAATGTTATTGTGGCCATCAAGGATTTTGTCACAGTTGTCATAGAACTAATTGTACCCTGGACGACGAACACAAGTGTCTGGATGTCCAATATGTCTCTTGGCAGGGTGTCAGCAATGCGGAAGTATCACTGAACTCATTGAATTCGAGAAACAATATCATGAAATAGGAGTGATAAATACAGGACGTGTCATTATTTTGTCAGCCAGTATGCTGAGGAATGAGCAATTACTCAAAAAATTACTTTAAAAAAATCATGTTAAATAATATTTAAATAACAATTTTTAAATAAATATTTTTTAGATGATTTAAATATGTTAATCTTTAAATGATAGTATTTGGATACTAAATAATAATATTGTATTAATTTATTATATTTTGAAGACCAGTTTAACTCAAGTGGCACATGAAGCACATTTTTAGGTAACCTGATAAAAATGTTACAGGGAACTAAAATGTTGAGGATTACTAACATGAAAACATATTGCTTGTTAAATAATATTTAAATAAATATTTAAATGTTTGTATTATTTAAATCAAATTATACTATGCTACTATCAACATGGAAAAAGTACTGCTTTATATAATTTATATAATAATATACTGCTTTATATAATAATATAATTTAAATATGCCAATATTCAGAATATTATAATACTACTACCAACATGGAACAAAGTATTGGTTATTAAATAATATTTTAAAAATAAATATTTTGTTTATATAAATTGTTTATATTATTTAAATATGCTCATAAATAATAAATAAAAATAACAATAAACCCAGTTTAATTAATTTTACCACATAAAGCACAATTTTAGGTAACCTGACAAGGCCACCCAAAATTAGACTTGTGCCGGTATTCGGTGGTGCGGTATATCACGGTAATTAATATGCACGATATTGTTATCGTGGGCTCAGTTATTTTTGTTATAAGAAAAAAGTTATTAAACCTGTTATACTGTATTATGACAGCACTTTTTTTTAAACTAAATTTCAATATCATGATAATACCGCATACCGTGATAAAAGCATTAGCAATTGATCGCAACATGAAAATTTGATACCGGCATATCCCTACCCAAAATGTTGAGGAATGCGACAACTAACATGAAAACATTGCTAATTTATTAATATTTAAATTAAATAAATCACTTTCACAGACTTTTACATTAAATGTTCCCTCCTGGTGGAATGACCTGACCAACTCAATCCGAGCAGTCGAGTCCTTACCCATCTTCAAGAATCGGCTAAAAACACATCTCTTCCATCTTTATTTGACCCTCTAACTCTAGCACTCTCTATTCTAATTCTATTCTTAAAAAAAAAACTTGCCCCTTTTAGACTTGCACTCTATTCATTTACTGCTTGTTTTCTTTAAAAAAAAAACTATCACTAGCTTCTCTATTCTTTTTGTATTCTATTTGTTTTTTTATTATTATTATAAAGTTAACAAAAAACAAAAAAGGTCTCTAACACTAGCTTGCTCTATTCTTTTTCTATTGTATCTCTTTTCTTTTTATTTATTACATAATTTAAAAAAAAACCTTGCTACGTGTACTGCGTTAAGCTAACTGAGACTTGTTATAGCACTTGCGTATCGTTGCTCTTTTGTTGATTTTGATTGCTTCCATTGTCCTCATTTGTAAGTCGCTTTGGATAAAAGCTTCTGCTAAAATGACTAAATGTAAATGTAAATAAATACTTAATTGTTTAAATTATTTAAATATGTTAAAATATGTTATTATTAGGACTGGAAATTTAACGTGTTAATTAGATTAATTAATTACGGTGAAAAATAAAGTGTTAAAATTACTAACGCATTTAACGCACTTGCCCCACCCCGACATTTCGTACAGCTGATTGACAAATATGAGGCAGGACAACAACTCACTGCGTGATGGAGCCTGCGTTCATAGAGGTTTAGAACAATTTGAGGGTAAGTATATGATGACAGTATCTTCATTTTTGGGTGAATATCCTTTTAAGATCTCATCATATAGGCTAAGGATCTCATATAGCCTAACAAATGCTTTATCTTTAACCATCAACATTCATTTAAGACACAAATAACTGTGTTTACGAGGATACTCGCAAAGACGGGCATTTTGACACGTAACTATGTGTATTTGACCGTTTAAGCACACGGAGCGAAAGTTTAGTCAGTAATACGAGCAGGTGCACGCCACGCGTATCAGGTAGAAACCGTTTTAACGCACGCATTTACCAGAATGAATTCTGTCCCGCAGCGTAATGTCCATGAACAGTATAAACCATTTGTTTTAAAACCTGCTTAAAACGCCTTGAAATGATAAGCTTAGACTACATCATGACGCGCTTCAATCAACGATTGATATATTTCTACCGGATTATCTCCCAACCCTTAAAT